TTTCTGATATGTATTCCTTACATTTCCTTTTCTTGACTTATTTCAATGTCTAGAACTTCTAGCACTATGCTGAATATGTGTGGTAAGAATTGACATCTTTGTCTTGCTCTTGATCTTAAGTGAAAAGAGTATCTCACCCAGTGACCCAAGCGCAGGCCCTGATATCTGGGATTTATTTATCTTCTATAATTGAAACTTTGTAGCCTTGCGCGGAGCCAAGCCTTCTGCTCACTCAGTGGCTGCAGCCATTTTTGTTGGGATTTATTTATCTTCTATAATTGAAACTTTATAGCCTTGAGTGGAGGCCAAGGCAGGCTAGGGCTGTGGAAGCTTGGCTTCCTCCATCGCCAGGGGCAACTCAAGTCTCCTGCTCTCCCCAGCTCCGTGGCTGCTGCCATTTTTGTTAGGATTTATTTATCTTCTATAATTGAAACTTTGTAGCCTTGAGTGGAGGTTAATTTTCATACTCACTCCTGATTGGCTGATGAGCGTGGCTTGTGGGTATAGTGGAGATATGGTCAATTTGCCCATACTCTTATTATATAGGACTAGAGGTCTGGTGCATGGATTCATACATGAGAGAGGGAATCCTCAGCCTGGGCTCCGCCTTCTCCTAGCAATTTTGGCCTGCGGGGATTGGGTCTAAACTAGCAGTTGGACATCCTCCGAGGGATATAGCAGTGCATCAAGCGGCAAGCAAACAGGCAGGAGTCTGAGCCAGGGCGGGCACTGCACTGCTTGCACTCATCCCGGCCCACTGAGCCTTCTGTTGCTGCTCAAAATCACTGCCACAAAGTAGGGAGAGGCTCCTGCCACTGCAGCTGTGCATGCCAGCCAGGAGCCTGGCTTCTGGCTGAGTGCTGCTCTTCCTGTGAGAGATTACTGACCACCAGGGGGCAGATGCTCAAGCCCCTTGGTGGTCAGTGCACATTATAGTGACTGGTTGACTAGTTGTTCCAGTCGTTTGGTCGTAAGAGTCACTTAGTCTTTTATATATATAGATGTGACCCCGGGCAAGCTGTTTCCCATCTATGGCTGTCAGTTCTCCCAGAATCAAATGAGAAACTAAAACTGCAGGGTCCCTGGTGAGTGCTAGGATCCTATGTGCTATGCCAATGATTTTCTTAAAGGACTTAGATAATCAACAGCATATTTCATCATGTTAGGAGAAAAATTTGGAGCAATTCTTATATTGTAATTTCACTCTGAATTCACCTAGAGGCTTAAAGCGAAGGGGAAAAAAGTTTCAGTATACCCAAGGTCATTCAGTCTGAATCAATTATCAGAGCTGATTATTTGTGCTAATGTGTTTACATGGCATGCTTTCTCCTCCTGAAGCATTTCTGAGTTTAGAGATTGCTTTTCATTTTTCAAACAAAAAAGCTTCCAGCCACCTACACTCAGGAATACAACAATAATGGCTTGTCATTATTCCCAACAGCTTATGCTAATTCACTGACTTTCAAGTGGAAAGAAAGCAGAGACTACTAAATGAGAAGTTTTATGTTCTCTGAATCTATCATTTTTTATCATGCACTAAACTTTTACACACAATTCAGTCCCCTAATATTCTATTTTATTTTTATTTAAAAATAGATGTTTGTATGTTCTTCTGATGTACTTGTAACTATTATCATTTAATGCATAGCACTGTTAAAATATAAAAAATGAATTTTAAGCAGCAATATTTAAAAAAGATTATCTTATTTTTTATGCTTTAGGAAGTTAAAATATGGAATCTAAAAAGCCTATAAAGTCATTGTTTCAGATTCATTGTCATGCACACATTTATTCACCTAACTAAATATATATTTTTTAATTATGTTTTTATTGCCTGTTTTAGAGAAAGGGAGGAAGGGAGAGGGACAGAGACAGAAACATCGATGAGAGAGAAACATCAATATAGATGGCTGCCTCCTGCATGCCCTCTACTGGAGCTCAAGCCTGCAACCAAGGCATGTGCCCTGACCAGGAGTGGAACTGATCATTCTTGGTGCATGTGTTGACATTCAACCATTGAGCCATACCAGCCAGGCTAACAAATATTTTTAAGGGCTTGCCACATGCCAGCCACTGTAATAGAGAGCAGAGAAAATAAAGAGCAACAAGGAAATGTTCCCTTCCTTTAAGGAGATTACAGTCTATATGGATTTAACAGAAATGACACAATTCTAATCTCCAGAAGAAAACGGGCAGTTATCAAACTCTGTAAAATGTCCATTTGCATATGTGCGTTAGTAATATTTTGCATGAACATTACATTAGTTTCCTAGTGCAGCCATAACAAATTATCACAAACTTGGATAGCTTAAAACATTAGAAATCTATCAACTCACATTTCTGGAGGTCAGAAGTCTAAAATCAAGATGTAGGTAGGGCCTTACTCCTCTGAGGCTCTAAGAGAGGATCCTTTCTTCTTAGTTTACGACAGCATAACTCCAGTTGCTGTCTTCTTCCCATGTCCGTCTTCCCAGTGTCAGTCTATGTCCACTTTTATCTTTCCTTAAAAGAACAACAGTCAATGAAATTAGGGCACACCCTAATCCAGTATGACTTTATCTTCATTTTATTACAACCACAAAGGCCCTATTTCCAAATGAGGTCATATTTACAGGTTGTAGATGGGTATGAACTTTGGAGGGGACACTATTCAACTCAGTACAAAAAAATCAAAATAAAATAAACCAATATTAACAGTCTTTTATATTATCTCCTTCTTATAATTAATATCCATTTTCTCTTCAGGTTTTATTGTTTTTTACTTTTAGTCTTTTTTTTTTTAATTGTTCTTAAACTGTATCAATGGTTTGCAAATCTGTAGGCTACATTGTAGTTTGTGATTCAAGTATTATAAGTATTTTTTTGAAGTGGAATTCTCTGATTATTTGAACTTCATGTTAACATTGACAGCTTGTTAGACTGAAATGTTTATAATACTTTTTCAACACTGTGAAAGTACTATACATTTTTTCCTGGCTAGGACCAGAGGATCTTTTTCCTTTCTTATAATTATTTTTCTCAATCTGGTTTGTCTCCTTTCTCCTAACCTAAAAATAGCACAAACTCAAATACAGAATGTTGATTCACAAATCCCAAAAGCAACACAAACACCAAATTGAACTCTGAGATTGACTACCATCATAGGCAACTCACACTCATTACTCTACCCCTGTATCTTGATGACCTCTAGTAATATTTTATATTCTCTGCCCCCTCTATTATCTATTCAATTTCTATGAGCAAAGTCATTAGCAACAGCATATAATTTAGAAATATCTATATATAAAAAAGCCTAAGTGACCAGTTATGGTGGAATGACCAGAATGACCAGTCACTATGATGCACACTGAGCAGGCAGGCAGGCAAGTGGTTAGTGGCAAGCAATCTCAGATTGCAAGAGGGATGTCTGATTGCTGGATGTCCAACTGCAGAGATTGGGCCTAAACTGGCGGTTGGACATCCCACAAGAGATCCCAGATTGCGAGAGGGTGCAGGCCAAGCTGAGGAAACCCTCCCCATACCCCTGTGCACAAATTTTGTGCACCAGGCCTCTAGTAAAATATATATAAACTTTGAAATTCTTCCCCATCTACTTCCAGAAAAGTTTTTCAAACCTTTTCCTATGCCTACAATATGTATATGTGTATGCCTGTGTATCTATTTTTTATCCCTGTAAACATATAATTTACTGGATTCATTTCTGGTAGGCGTTTTTCTACAAGAAAACTGGATCATAGTATTAGTATTATTTTACAATTTACTTTTATAACTTAAAATGGTATTTTTACTCATCTGTAAACATTGATCTCTGCTCTGGAATGGTTTCTTAGGCCTCCTTTTCCCTCCCTCCATTTTGGTTAAGTGCTATTATTCCACATTCTCAAAATTTTTCAGCTTGTATCCACTATAGCATGGATCACAGGAAAATGCAATTGTTTATGAGCTTCGATATTTATGTATTCTATGGGCTTTTAGGACCTGAAAGCCTCTTCATTCTTGCTATAGACTTACCAGCTAGCCTAGTGCTAGTACTTAATAGTAGTTGAATGCTTGTTCTCACAGCTTCTGATTTCTCCCCATTTCAGTCCTCCCTCCATATCCTAAAGGAGGTGGAAAAATCTGTTGATTTTACTCAAATTCTGTCAGCTCCCTTCTATGAATCTCTATTCTTATGACTCCCTTAGTCCAGATCCTATTTTCCCTCCCCTAGCACAATGTTTCTCTAACTTAAATAATAGTCTCTTTTTAAAAATTGTATGTACTTGTTGAATCAAATTTTTATGATTTTGATTAGACATACAAACAAAATTTGACATAAACCTTAAACTAATACTTCTTGTGTAAATCTAAATCCAAAACAACTTAAACATTAAATACTTTCATAACCAATAAATTAAAACTACCGAATCAGCTTTAAGTGAATGTACTATTTTGCTAAAATTAACTTGCCAATTTTGAATTCAGAGTGTAAAGATATGCGTATATACTCAGATCTGTTTCTATATAATCTGTCTCTTTATTTATATAACTCTCAAATGAAGGCCATCATATTAAATAAGAATATTTCAATATTTGCAGAAAACATATGTATATTTCATATACAAGTTACTAATATGTTACATATACTGATATACACTCATATGTTCAGCTATTATAAACATGCATTAAAGAAAAAAAGATGTCACAAAATAATTTTGATAACAAAATACTTAGTGTGCTATTTTAGAATAATGAGACTTCATACTGGCAAAACGCTGGCACTATGCAACTCTCAAATACCAATTTTAATGAACTGTCTTTTGATAACTTTTGATAATTCAGTAAAGTTTGTTTGTTCTTTTAAATATAAAAGAGTTACAAAAATGTGCATTATGTGGATGTATAAAATCAGACACAAAAAGTTCTTTATCATATTTGCCGGGAGTTAGGATAGCAGTGTGACCTCAGAAACTAGTTTTCAATAATCATCCTTTTTTTTTTTTTTTTTTTTTTGTCCTCAGCGTTCCGGTGGTGGCCTTGCCATTCCCTTGTGTGCGTTTCAGGGGATGGTGTCGCTCCAGGCCCCTACAGGGAAAACGCTATCTCTTTCTACCTATGAGGTGAGCACAGAAGGACAGAAGATAACCCCAGCCTCTAAGAAAATAGAAGTCTACCGATCCAAAAGTGTTGGTCATGAGCCAAACTCAGAAGATTCTCCATCCACGTTTGCGGACACCAGTGTGAAAATACATTTGGAGGTTCTTGAAATTTGTGACAATGAAGAGGCCTTGGACACTGTGTCCATCATTAGCAACATCAGCCAGTCCTCCACACAGGTCAGGTCTCCATCCCTACGCTACTCACGGAAAGAAAACAGATTTGTTTCATGTGACTTAGGAGAGACAGCCTCGTATTCTCTCTTTTTACCCACAAGTAATCCTGATGGTAATATCAACATCTCCATCCCAGACACCGTGGAAGCACACAGGCAGAACAGCAAAAGGCAGCATCAAGAGAGGGATGGTTACCAAGAGGAAATCCAATTGTTAAACCAAGCTTACAGGAAACGAGAGGAAGAAAGTAAGGGTAGCTAGTGTCTACCCAAGTAGTTGTTTAGTACAGGCAAGAATGGTGCCTCGCCTTCACACTGCTAACCTAACACCTTTGTTTTCCGGCTATTTGATTTCCTTTTTCATTTGTTGGTTTACATAAGCTTTACAGAAATGCTAGTTAATTATTTGTACTGCAAACAGCTGGAAATAATGCAAACATTTAAGTGCTTTTGATGTGTTGCTTTAATGATCACACACTGATAATTAAAAGATTTGTTTCTTATCCAAGTTCTAAAAAATTTTTCCAAATCAAACCTTGGCCTAGTTTACTAATGTTCTGCCTATGTTTGTAAAAAAATATATATATTATATAAGCTTAATGAGTATATTGTTCCCATGCACGTTTCTACACATAATGTTGGGCTTTAAACTGCAAGGGGGGAAAAGGCATTTAGGGAATGAAAGAAACGTAGCAAAACTCTTGAGTTGTGTTGGAAGAAGCTTGCCAAAATGTGATTAGCAAAGCAAGCTTAGTACAGTTTCAGCTTTAACTTTGCACTGATGTCTTGAAAATATATTCTTGTGTAAAACTGCAAATTAACTTCCAACTTCAAACCACGCATGTCCCTAATCCGTAAATAGTTGTGTCCTTCATTTCTATAAAATACAAATTGTTTACTGAATTTTTAAATTTTCTCTCTTTAATATAACAGTATTTCCTTTCCATCTTTTCAGTATGTCAAGACTGCCCTTAAAACAAATACTCTCTGTGTTACAAGTGGAACTGCAAATGATCTTTAACTGAAACATTATTAGGAAAGATGGTAAATATAAACTTCATCATTTCTAGAACTGATTACTTTATTTGAATGCAAATTGAGGGAAAACTGCCAAATTAATTTCTGTGAAGTACACCCAACTAGACTAACAAAATTTCTGGGTAAAGCAGAGGTAAATCCTCTAAGTCCAAAACAAAAGTGTCTGTTCCTAAAGCTGCAGATTTGACAAACTTTCTTAGCCATTCTTGAAGCACAGAAATTTTTAGTTCAAATGTTATTCCAACTTTAGGTGCTTTTTACTTTCTTTCTCAAAGATGTGAGTATTTCAAAGCAAAGAAACAATTCAATATATTTTATTAAATGATTGTTAGGTACATATGTCAAGACTAATGAAAACCAATATTTAAAGAACATGAGAATTTGATTGGAAAACAGTAATATCCTTTTTCCCTTTTGTGTACCCGTCCTCCCCACCCCCACTTCCACCCCCACCGCCACTGCAATTGTGCCTATGCTGTGGCAGCTGAAAAACAAAAACAAAAACAACCTGGTTGTTGTGTTAACTATTCAATGGATACACTTAAATGCTCTGCTGTATTGATACTATACCAGGACAATTTAGCCCAAAGCCACAACTTGGAAGGCTAATAGGATCACATTAGTAACCTATAACTCTTCAAATGCCAAGCCAACAGTGGTTGAATCGAAAAAAACTCTCTATAGGGCCTGTGCCTAAGCATGAGTATCTCCTCCTTCCAATTGTGACTGTGAAAAATGTGTTTCTGATATAATAAGAAATGATGTAATACCCTTATAGATATCTTGTGCTATATTTAAACATCTTACCCTTGCATTATTCTATTGTTCTTCTTATTAATAAATATTATATTTCAGATAAGTTGTCTCTTTTCTCTATAATTATATATCTATAGACAAAAACTACTTACCTAATAAAAATATCACCATCTGGTGGTAACTCTTGTAAACTGAAAAGACTTAATCTCTAAAACTCCCTAGTAATAACATAAACACATAATGCATAATCCCAAAGACTTCCAGGAGTTGTGACTGACAGAGGCAACCATGTTGAAGACAGCAAACATCACAGTATTACTCATAATATAATAAATAAATAAGAGAGAGAGAGAGAGAGAGAGAGAGAGAGAGAGAGAGAGAGAGAGAGAGAGAGAGAGAGAGAGACCTGGTTTGCATTATTTGGAAGCTTTTCTCAACATGGTTCTGTAGTATTGTATTTCATAAACAGTATCTTAATTTCTCATACTAATCAGCTCCTTCCATTCATTTACTTATTATAATACCAGAGGCCCAGTGCATGGATTCATGCACCAGTGGGATCCCTCAGCTTAGCCTGCAGGGATCAGTAGACCTTATCACCACCACTCACTGGGTTCTAGCCTGCTGTCTGTGTTGATCCCGCACAGCACAAAGTAGTGCATGAAGCAGCAGGTGGCCAGGGAGGAGCCTGAGCCCAGGCTGGGCACTGCACCGCTCCCCCTCATCCTGGCCCACTGCACCTGCCACCGCTGCAGCTGGGGCGTACAGGGGGAGTATCTGTAGGAGAGGTTTGTCCAACAGCAGCTGTGCTCGCCAGCCCTGAGGCCAGCATCTGGCCTCTGTTAATCAGCTGAGCAGTGCTCCAGCTGTAGGAGTGCACTGACCACCAGGAGTTGACCACTAGAGTGAGTATTTGCCCTCTGGTGGTCAGTGAGCATCATAGCTACCAGCCAATCATCTAGTAGTCCGGTCACTTAGGCTTTTATATATATATAGATTGAATGAATGCCTATCATATGCTAGATTTTGTTTTAGGTTGTTAAGATTATAACTGTGAACAAAAACAATCCAAATATAAGTATGCTGTGTGTTCAAGCCAACTGCAAATTTAGACAATGTAGTCCACACAGAACTTTACACACTTCTGACACCAATTGTGAATTCAGAATGTCCCCAAAACCACTATCAGTCTCAATACTTCACCAAAAGGACTCACAGAACTCACTGAAAACTGTATACTCACAGTTATGGAATATTGCATGGCAAGAATACAGATTAAAATTAACCAAGAGGAGAAGCACACACAGCAGAATCCAGAAAAAGTCTAAATGTGGAGCTTCTGTTGTCCTCTCCACATGGAGCCATGGATAGCATTCCTGGCCTCAATGTGTATAACTATATTGTTTGTACAGTGGAAAGAACACCTTGGTAGGATTAATTTCAATCTCTGATTCTGATTCTGACTTTACCATTATTTGACCACACTTAAACTCTTCAGAACTCAGAGTGTTGTAGAGTATATGCTAGAAAGATTAAGGGTGAAGTGAGTCCAGAAAGATTAAATAATCTCTAAAACCTTTTAGCCATTCTAAGATACTAAATGAACGCTAGACAAAACCTACTGTGATTACATGATTCTATTCTTCATTCTGGAAGGATATCCTTAATGGATTTGAGTCCAGGAAAGACTTCATATTCTTGGATAAAAAGAACTTAATGCTCATAAATTTTAGTATTAAGACCAGGAAAAAGACTCTCCAAAGGTAAGTAAGGCAAGAGAAGCTGGTAGTAGGAACAGACATACAGGAGGACAGATCAATTTGAGATAATAAAAAAGTAAAACCTCCTAGAATTCCAGGGGAATACAAGATTTCAATGAGTAATTTTTCTCTTTGGCTTGGACATACTAAAATCTATAACCAGAGATTATGTGATCATATATATATATATATATATATATATATATATATATGTGTGTGTGTGTGTGTGTGTGTGTGTGTGTGTATACATATATGTGTATATATATACACATATATGTATACACACACATATATATATACATATATATACATATATATATTAAAAACATAGTCTGCTTGTAAAGCTCTAAGCAAGAAATGTGGCAAGCTGAAATGGGAGAAGGAATTCATATTACAAACATATCTTCACTTCTTTCTCCCCCATATGTCCTCACATTATCCTACAATAATAAGATCTTGTTCTTTGACTGAGCCAGGTTTTTCCATTTCTTCATATCACCTTTCTTAAGGCAAGCTTCACACTGTTGCCTCTCTGGAGTTATAATTGTGTAATGTCTATTGGGGAACTTGGCATAGGGGGATGGGATTAAAATATATCCATTTGGTATCTATAATAATAAAAGCTTAATGTACTAATTAGACCAGACGTCCTTCCAGACAACCTTCCAGATGAAGCCGGAGCTGTGAGGGAAGCCCACATCCTGGGTGCCAGAGGGAAGCCAGTGCCAGCAGCTGGGGGAAGGAAGACCTACTCTTGCACAAATTTCATGCAACAGGCCTCTAGTTTTAAAAATACTTTTGATAAATAGGCAAATTGAGGTTTTAATTATTGAAAATAGAAACTTTATAAATCAAGGAGGCATAAGTAATGTGTAAAAACCTAATTTTTGTTAACTTTCATAAGACTGCATTATTTATGAACTATATCAGTAATTGTGGTATTTTTTCCTTGGAATTGTCTCATTGTTTTTAGTCTTTCTGTTTCTTGGCCTAACTATAGTAAAAGAGGGGGGGGAATAGTACCTGCTTATATTACCTGACATTAAATAAGCACTCATTAAATGCTACTTATAGTAATATTACCATTCCTTTTCCTACTCCTGGTTGTAACATGGACAACAGCAGGAGTGCTTGTGATGCAAAACGAGAAGTCTGTAAAACTCTCATAATGGTGATGTAACATGCTTTTGCAGAAGGCCTAACTGAGGATGTGTAGAAGATTGTATCTTCCAAAGATGGGCACAATATCTCCCATCCCATATGCTTTTCTCACAGTGTGACCTTGGTTCTCCTCCCATAACATGGTGAAGCTTGACTACCCTTTTACCTGGGTGGACATCTGTAACTGATGCAAATAATACAGTATAGCGGACATGACTTCTGAGGCCAGTTCATCAATATATCAGCCCACTTTGTGACACTTGTTCTTGGAACTCAGCTGCTATTCTGTGAGGATGCTGAAACTATGCCACACATAGAAACCAAATGGAGAGGCTTCTTGTAGGCATTCCAGCCCCTAGACAGCCGGGATCCACTCCAAACCAACATCGACCACCAGATGTTTGCATGAAGATGTTTGCACATGATTCAGGCCCCCAACTATCATCCCACTGCAGAGAAGAAAGAAGGAGTAAAAAATGCCTAAGAGAGAGAGAAACTTCATAATTACTTAAAAAAGAATGAGTTGGTAAATTATCATGTTCCCTCTATTTCCTTATTGCCTAGCAAGAAGGAAATTAAGAGATTAGATCAGTAAGAAACAAATAAAGAACCCCCCACTCCACATTTTCTTTGCCCATCTTTGTTATATTTTCAATAAATTTGTGATTTTACTAGATAAGTTGTAGTCAAGAAGAGTCATTCTCTAAAATTCATTTTCATTGTAATCACACTTTTCCAATTTGAGTTTAAAAACATTATTTGAAAAGACACTCTATTGAGTTATATAATAAGTTCTTCCATATCTTTCTTGATACTAGAGAAAAACAAACATTTTCTCCCATTTCCCATACTCACACAGCACATCTTTATATTCTATAGAGGTATAAGATTATTTATATCAGCATATCCCCTTGTCTTCCCACCTCAAGAGGAAGTACGAATCAATTCCGATTTACATTTTCTAAGGGAACACTAAAAAAAATCCCCTCCCAGATCTTTAGGAATATTAGACCCATGACAAAGTATACAAGAGTTGTTTCAAAGGATTGGGGTAAAGAAGATGAAGAATAAGAGATTCCTGGAGACTGGGAAAGCTGTAATAGTTTTCCACAGTGTTGTGCTTTTGTGTGGCTCACCCTTGCTGCATATCAGAGGTGACTGGTCTGGGAGGTAGATGCCTGTGGAAGTTAGATATCAAGCACTGTGGGTTTGAAAACAAATCAGTGGAGAGGACATGTGAGAGAGACAACATTTAGCCTTCCCAGAGCACACAAATGGCAAAGCACCAGTAAGAGTAGCCATGGAAATTATAATGAACCAACCACACCATTTGTTTTCTGACGTTAGTTAACCTATCGATAACAATTCCCGTGGTTCCAACCAAGGCAGAAAAAACAACAACAAAGGAACAAAAGACACTTTTCTTCTGACCAATATCTTTCTTAAAAAGCACCCTTTTGTGCAGATTTTTACTATAATGACATGTGTGTTAAGTGTCTGCCTAAAGCAACAACTTCAATGAATACCGTACTACATGCTGATGACATCAGGAAAAATTTGTAATTTGCTAATCAACAAACATGAGGTGAAGAGAAATAATACAATTCATCAGCAAAAAGAATTAGCACAACTTCTCTCTGGGGTTTTCATGAGGATTCTGTGAAATATGAACTGTCATTATTTTTCTATTGCTGCTATAATAAATTATA